ATATGGGATATTTAAATGTTTATTATATGGGAGGTGGGGAAAACTGAAAGGAATTAGGCTCCTAAACCCTTAGGTTTTGCTTGTAAAAGCACCTTTTGACAACTGGAAGATGTTGGATGTGACCTCAAGCCAAGAGGGATCGTGTTCCAGATGGTTTGCACAGTTCCCTTTAATAGGAGATATTTAAATGTTTTTGATATGGAGAGGGGGATAACTGAGAGGAATTAAGGTCCTAAACCCCTCGGGCTGCTCTTCCCTGGAAGTCGTTGAGCCGGAGTGGAGCAATCCAGCTCTTCTTCAACATCTCCCCCCTGTGGCACCAAGAATGTTCACAGCACACGGCTCAGTCCCGGCTGCCAGGGTTGCTCATAAGTGGGGAACTCTTTGCTGTAAATTCACATTTTACTGGGCACCAACTTTCTCATGGTTTTAATTCCCATGGTCCTTTCTCCTGGCTTCATCCCAAGGTTTGGTGCTTTCCTCTTCCATAGAAATAAAGTTGATGTCTTTGAAAGAGCAAGTAATTTCTTCATGTGAGCTCTTTATTTACCTAGGATACATATTCAGACCCTCCACATTTAGGACTATGTTCTTGAAATCTAATATGAGTTGGGTGACTGAGCAGCAAATTACTGGATTTTCCATAAAAGCCAGGCTCCACACGGTGGAGTGGAGGTTAAGTACAAAGAGCAGGTCAAAAACTATCAGCATTTCAACAAAATAGTTAATTAAATTCATATATCAAGAGAAAAAAAAAATTGTAGTTTCCTTATAATGAGAATTTTCCTGTAACATTTAACTCCCAGAAAGAGTGGCTAATTCCATTTATGTTAATATTAGACCAGCATACTTTTGCTTTTAGCTTAATCACTAAGCAACCAAGTTACCAGAAGAACGCAGGTTATCCAGCAATTATCACACAAACACGTCTGGGGCTGAATTCTGACACTGCACCATTAAAATCCATGGAGATTTTCCCGGGAGTCCCATGACAGGAATGCTAAGGATATAAAAACTGACATATGATTACGTGTTAATTGGTCCCAATCCCATTCGTGGTTCCAGTCCCACTCAAAGCCTTTTAATTCATGGAAGAGTTGGGCAGGAATGATAGCACCAATTATTGCTAAGAGGTACCAAGGTGCATTACTTGATATTTATTATTAACAGCATCTTTTAAAGCAATTTTCATCCTAAGGATCTCAAAGCTTTTACACATTAATGAATGGAGAGCCTCACACGATCACCGTGAAGGAGGCAAATATTATTCCCAGCTCACAGATGAACGGGGAGGATGGGAATTCAATTAACACCCTCAAATTTACACAACAGCTTAAAGACACTTTTTCCCACCAGGAAGAGCAGATCTGGTGACGGGGCCTTGCAACCAGTGACTCCATCTCCCTGCAGGGAAAAATTTGACTCCAGAGGAAATCTACAGTTTGCCAAAGCTCTGTGCCAATGGAATCAAATGGAATGTATTTAACATGGATGTTTTCCTAGGAAGGGTCTTAGCCCATGGCCTGGAAGGAGTTAAAGCATAAAGGATTGCCACATCTGGACAAGATCTGTTGCCAGGGTTAACTCACGTGGCTGTTTGGAATATTTCTGCAGGAACAGCAGCCCAGCATTCTCTTTCAGAAACCAGCTCTTCCATTTGAATTTGCCTTCCTAAACAACGGTGGCTTTTGCTTACAAAATTAGCTCCCTGCCCAGCATCCGAGGCAGGAATCCAGAGAAACAGCTTAATTTTTATCAAGCAAGTGCTTAAAGCAACTGTTGATATCCAGGGAAAGAACGCAAACCCTCACTCTGTCTCGAGGAGCCATTAAATATTTATTGGTCTTTCCGAGACAAAAATACAAATGTAAAGCTTGGCTGGCTCCCTCCTCCTGCTGGGCTCAGTTTTGGTGACCCCTGAGCTCACGGGTTGGAGGGAAAGTTTGCATCTCACTGAGGGTTTGCTTTGTGATGGAGCTCTTGGTGCAGCAGTAGGTCCCTTCAGGGCCCAGTGGGGTGTTTGAGCTTGTTTGTTAACTGGAAATGGAGCAGGAGACTCTCCAGGCAGGAGAAAACACACTGAGGGAATAAAACACGTTTTCCTGAGTCTTCACATCTCGTGCCTCCTGAGTGAGGCTGACTGGGATTTTCTGTCTCATTTGTTGGCTGTACAATTGGGGTTTTCTTCTCTTATTAACTGAAAAATCTGCATTGCTGATGAACTGCTGCGACAGCAGATACACTCTGGTCTCCCCTAATTGCTTCTTCTACATTTATGAAGATACTTATTGTTTTTCTCTCTTGAACTCTAATTAAAGCTTGCAGTGCTCTTACACACACACCCCACTCATGAATATACATCGTGTTTTAAGTGAGACAAAATTGTCATCATTTTTTTTGGTGTTCAACAGGCCTCTGCAAATGAAACGTTCTGTCCTGGGCCACCTGCTCAGAAGAGTGAGGGCTTTTTGTGAAGGAATCAGAGAAATTGGAATTTTGGAATTACCTGGGGATGAGCTCAATTTGCAATATCCACTATCTGCAGGGATCTCACCTGCAGAGATCTCAGCTTCTTTGTGAATTTTCTCTTTTAATCAGCCTTGGTTCCCCTCTGACTTAAAGAGAGGTGTCTATCAGGTTTTCTCCCTTTTGTGTACACACACAGACATATTTCTCTCTGAGTTGCTGCCTTACAGTCCCCAACTTGACCTCTCCACTGGCCATCCTCTCTCCTCTCTTGCTGACCTCTGCACCACAACGAAAACATAAAAGTCAATACTAATTTATAAGCAATTAAACAAAGAGCAAACCTGTTGAGAACCTTGCTCCTGCACCCTTTAAACATGAGGTTATGCTCTTCTCCTTGTACAAGTGATTTGTTTTGGTTTTTGGTTTTTTTTAGTTCTCTACTCTTGCAGGGTTGCAAATATTGAAAGCATTCCTCAGCTTTCAACAACAATATCACCTAACTCAAAATAACTGGAGCTTTTTCCAGTTCCAAAGGAGAGTAAAATAAGAAATAGGGAGAATGAGCTTAGAACTGACCCAATGTCACTGTGCTGAACCACCTTGTACACAGTGAAAGACCATCAGTGACAGTCTTACAGCAAATGTAATTTTGGTTTTCAGGACCATTATAAATATAAATATTTTTTGCAGTGCTGGGGGGAAGCAGAGTCCATCCTTTGCACTGTTCTAGCTCAGGTTTGTCCCCCTGAGGGGTGGGAAAAGCACAGATTTCTTCTGGGACAAAAACTTCTTAAATTCATCCTGCATTGCTATAGGGGAAAAAAAAAGATATTTCTCCAAGGCTGAAACTCTCATTTTTACAATCATTTTGCAAAGTTCCTTATTTTGAGCCCTGGCTCAGATAATTCACAGGTTTTGAATCAGGCATGGCCTCCTGTTGTGCCCCAGCTGGGTGGCAGGAGCCCCGTGGTGCAGAGTGGGATGTGGGGTGGAGGATGGAGGGCTCAAGGGCTCAAGGGCTGGAGTTTCAATGACAGGCTAAAGCAGACCCTGGATCAGCCATGGTCACCTGCCCTAAAATGTTCAGGCAGCACAGGTTTGTTGCAAGGCAAATTTGGCAGTTTTAAAGATCTGGCAATAAATTAAATTCGAACACTCAGGGGGAAATTACCTTCAAATCTGTATTAGCTTTTCCTTCACTGGCAGTAGACACCCAAGACAGATTGCTTTGAACTATACAGGGATTTTGGCATCTTTGCTTATGCATCAGAAGTTGCACAAACCCTTTTTTTCCCTTCCATTTGGACACAGTAAGGAAATTTTCTCTGTCATTTAACTCAATATTCACTAAGTGACATCACACATTTCAGAGAGTCTCTCCCTTAACACTAAAAATGAAGGACAAAACCAGCTGAAACCCTCCTTGTCTGAATCAATCACAGACCCATGGAATGGTTGGCTTTGGAAAGGACCTTACAAATCATCTAGTCCCAACCTCCCTCCAATATATTTAGCCAACAGGTGATAAATAGCCCAAGTTATCTCATCCAGGAGGGTCACAGCTCCTACCAAACCCCACAATTTGTGGGTGACTGATGGTGCACAGAGCTGGGCTGGTAAAGCCTGCACATTCCAGCTCACCTATCTTAGGGGTGCCTCTGATCTCCCCTCACTACTCTCCAAATAAATCACTCTCCAAATAAATTGAACTAACAGAGGCAGCCCACAAATCAGTTTTTCCTCTTCTCCCACACCATGAGGAGTGGCAGTGGTTTGTCAGGTACATGTTTAGGGACAGGATCCTCTAACACATGCTAATGAGCCATTAGATAAAATGGTCCTTGACAAAGCCTGAGAGGTTCTGCCCGTTGTCTTCTCCCCCTTCAACACAGGCCAGAGTCTCCTGTGCTGTCAGATTAGACCTAGAGGGATCCTTAGAGGATGTGCTGCTGGCTTGGAAGCAGCTAAGAAGGTTCCTTCTCATGGAAATGAGATGGCAAGACTGAGGTAAAAAAACACAACACGCAGAGCAGCAAGTTTGGTTTTCAGGCTTTCCTCTAAATACATCCTGATTTGAACTGCAACTGCTTTCCAAGCCAAACCAGCTTATGGAGTGTGAACACTGAGATAAATGAACACTGAGATAAATGAACACTGAGATAAATGAACACTGAGATACGTGAGCACCAGTTTACAGCTGCATTTTGATAACATTCCATAACAGAAAATTCACACCACATCCACTTCTGCGTCCCCTGAAACACATCAGTGTGGCCAGGATGCTTTCAGTACTGAAATAATTTCGGTTTATTGAAACACAGAGCAAAGCTTCCCTTCCCTGCTCTTCCTGTTGATATTAATATGACCCACTCGTGTGAAAATAAAGGTTGTGGGGCTTTGCTCCTGAAGCTGTCTGCTAAAGTCTGAGGAACAGATGGTGGGAAGTGTTTAAGTAGCAAACAAAGTATTGCAGCAACATGGTTGGTTTTATACAACAGACCTTTGCAGAGAATAAGAACTATTTCTAAAGGTCAGCTGGGGAAATAGCACTGCCCTGCTACTCGTTCTGCAGTGATTAGCACGGCCACCTCAGCAACAGCCTGCCCAGAAAGACAACAGGGAATACTGCAGAAAAGATTATAATGTAAAAGGGTTTAAGAAAATGGTTTTTTTCTGGTTAGAAAATGGAGGTTAATATAAAAAAACCCAAAGCTCGACAGCTGGTGGGATGTTGAATGGCTAAATGTAAGTCATGCCACATAGGTTTTCCTTATTTCCAAAAGTTGAAAGATTCTCAGCTTAAATGATTTATTTACAGGGTGGCGGTGACAGCACAAATACTCAAAATATTTTCCAAAGTAAACCAGGACAAAATCCTCTACCCAGACTGGTAGCTACTTCCTGCAGCATCTACAGACCTGTCTCAGTAGGCATCTGCTAAAAGTTTGTCCCACTAGTCAATGAATGCTGGAGCCATTTGGTTCAGAGTAAAGTAAAAAAAAAAAAAACAAGGACACACACACAAAAAAAAGCTGAAACACCAGAATTTAAAGAAAAAAATACCTCTAAATGTTAATGAAAGGGTTCTTCCCCCTATGAGTTTTGGGCAATGACCATCTGTTTTGTTGGCAGTTTAGGTTAGAAGTACCAGCAGGTTGATCTTCTGTCTTTACCTATGGAAGAAATGAACCCCTCAGCAGAGAAACAACTGAATTTCTCTGTGCCCTCACGCTCTCATGCCTAGACAGCAAAATCCAAGTAAATTTAAGCCAGGTGCCCCCAAAACCTGATCTTGTTCTTAAGTCATCATTTGTGATATGATTGCATTCAAAAAGTCCAATCCAAACCCAAAGAGGGTCTCGATGTCTCTTCATTCCCCCTGTAACAACACCTGGTGATTAATCACAGCACTGCTGGGAGAGGAACCAAGGAGATGGGATTTCTCCCAAAGAACTTCAAATCCATTTGAAGTCAATTAAACACTTAATGGAAGGAACTAAATGGACTAAACTTCCTGAAAGCTTGGCTTTTCAGGGCAAGCATCCAGCAAAATTACATGTGTTCCTTCATATGATAGAGAATATTCTCTGTCCAAGGCTGGTACTGGTGCCTGGATGCACCTTTTCTATTCATTAGACAAATTCCTTGGGCAAACAGCTGGATTAGAGCTGATGCACATGACTCAGCCCTTCTTCTCCACGCCAGTCCACTCTCTCACTGCAGCAATTAGGAACAGAAAGTCGAGCAAAACAAACCAAAAAGTAATTTAGGCAAAGCTGAGGGGGGGACGATTTAAAGTTTGAGGGTCTAATGGATTCACGTCACGTGCGTCTCGGAAGCAATAAATCCTGCTTAGGGAAATGTCTGAGGGAAAAAAACCCCACTGCCAGGCTATAAAATTCCACCTCTGAGGATTATAAAACAACAGGCACAGAGCAAACATCCTTTCCGAGCATAATGGGACTGTCAGGAATGATTGGCAGCAGTGACAATGTATCACAGGCTGCTGTGTCCTGTGCAGGGCTGTCTGGCAGGAGGGTAATTGTTTATTCTCTCCTGCACCATGTGGAGGATGGAAAGTGTCATGGAGGATAAAAATGCATCTTTTCTTTCCACCTGCCTTTATGCACCTGCATTATCTCAGCACACTTTTCAGTTCATGGGACACCGTTCCCGCTCCCCCTCAGATCCCTCCCCCCTTTGGGTGGGCTGTGGAGCTGAGGACTCGCTTAGTGCTGCTCAGGGGAAGGTGGTGCCTGACGTCAGGAACCTGCTGCAAACCTGAAGCAAATACCAGAAATGAGCAATCTGGATGCAAAGCCCCAAGCCTCACCCGGAGGGAGGGCAATGCCCCTTTTCCAGAGCTCAGCAGCCACAGCAATCCCTGTGCCTGGGTGTTTTCGTGGTGAGGAAATCCTATCCAGGGTGTGGAACGGATGGAAACCACTGGGGTCAAGAGATTCTGCAGGTTGTAATGACTTTCATTAAATCACTGTCTTCCCTGGGCAGAATTTGAGCTGGCAGCCTATTGCTGAGGGGCTCCACACAGCTTATTGCCTATCCCTGCGTGCCCTTCAATGCCGCTGACAGGGCTGACAGGTCAGCAGCCTCTTGGCCAGCCCACACCACAGCCCCCAGCACCATTCCCCCACCTCATCTGCCATTGAGGACATTTTTCGGGGCAGGAGGAGTATAAAATACACAAAGAAATGCCCCATTCTCCATAGAAAACAAAGGTATATGGGAGATGAGATGATTTTCCTCCCCATTCCACAGCTGTTTCTCTACGCTGTGTTTACCAACCAGTGACCTCCAGCACAGCAAATTTCCCCTATAAAGCCGCAGTTGCTTGTACATCACTACCACAAAACTAGGGCATGAAAATCAGTGAGAAGTAGAGTAAATTGACAAAACAGATGGGGAAAAGAGGTTCTTCCAAGAAGCCAAGGGAGAAATAAATACAATCTAATTAATGGACTGGGCTGATGTTCAGGAGCACAGAGTCCACATGCTGACTATCCAAAAATACACCTGTGAAATCCCAGACCAGCTCCCCAGTGCCTGTGTGCTCTGGTTTCCCTTCTCCAAGCTGGTGAGCATCCTTGTCATTTTGTCTTCCCAGTGACACCTTGCTGAGTTCAGGGACCTGCCCTTCCACAGGCACATGCTCATGGTCCCAGCGATGCCTCCACTGAAAACCCTCACAGAGCATTTTCCAAAGTGGAAAACTGTGTTGATTGGTTTCGTGATTCATCTTAAGCCAAAGAAATGACTCAAGATCAAAGTTAGATCCGTGGAGGATCCTTTGCTTCAGCCACATCTCCTGGTGTGTGTCCAGGCAGAGTTCTAAAAATGTCTCCAATTTCTCTCCGTGACAGAAGGGCAGCAGGCACGAGGCATCATCCCCACACCACCCCTGCCTCTGCAAAGTGGATTAATAATGGCAGGGAAGTGAGAAATGCCCATTAACTGTCCCCTCTGACCAGTCACTCCTGCTGGGTTAGCAGTCCAACTGATTTCTACCCAAAGTTTCACTTTGGATGTTCTTTCCCTCAAATTATTTACCAGTTAAAATCAGGTCCATGCCAAGAGAGGGGAGTGAAAGGGCCACGCTGGATTTCAGCTTATCTTTGTACAGAGCCTCACACAATCAATACCATTCAGAGCTGCAGGGCTCCATCTTCCCCTAAAACCACTAGCTGGGAAGCAAAGAGAGCAGGGAAGGGAAGGGAAATAATTGCATTGGTGATATTTTTTCCTCCTGTGTGATTACAGCCATAGGGCACTCTGCAGTCAGGGTTAGCATGGATTTATATGCACACATTGGAGGGGATATTCCTGTTGATATTCCTGCCAGACTCATGTTTCTTTCATTCCTCAGGGGATTTATTTTATTGGGTTTTGTTGTTTTTTGTTTGTTTTTTTTTTTACTGGATGTTATCACATGTTTAGTTCCATCCTTTTACTCACCACTACCACTTCCCACCTTGTCATTCTTTCAACCTGAAAATCCCAGACAAAAAAACATCCTGTCCTTTCTGGGAAGGGTTCCAGGAGCATCACGAGGATGCAGGAGTACTTGACATTTCCCCATTGTTATTAGAGAGACTGATTAGGAGATGCTATCACAGGCACCTATTAATATGCATTCAGGACAGCTGATAAGTAGGAGAGCAATTCTCAGGTGCTAAAAAAAGAACTCCTGCACGAGGGGATTATCAACAGGTACCTTTTTGCCCCATATTTATTTTAATCTGCCTTCTCTCATGCCTGGCTATTCCAAATTTGTGGAAGTGTCCAAGGGTAGATTGGAGGGGGCTTGGAGCAACCTGATCTAGTGGAAGATGTCCCTGCCCATGGCAGGGGGTGGAAGGAGATGAGCTTTTAAGGTCCCTTCCAACCCAAACCATTCCATGATTATATGATTCTATTCCCACCTGCAGCACTGACTGTGGGAGCAAATCCAAATGCACAACCTATCCCTTCGTGTTCTCCATTAGTTTGGGGTAAATGGAGCATAATTGGCTTAAGATGCACCAAAATGAGACCAACACCACCATCACAGACATGAAATCCTGAGCACAGCTGTCATGCTTTGCTCCCTGTGCAGTCCCACAGACCCCAAAGCCTGGACTGACTCCCTGTCCAAAAATGAGAACATAAAAACGTGTCTCACTAACAGCAGGGATTCCCAGGCACTTCCCACATGCACCACAATCCCTGTTAGCCAAAGTAATTAGGACCAAAGGTTTTCAGAGAAGATAACCACCAGGCTCCTATGGGAACAAAACAGGCAATCCCCAGTCCTGGAGAGCTCAGGACAACCTCAGGCCTCCTTTGCCTGATTTTAGGCCTTGCCAGAGAAGGGAGAGGAGATCACCCCGTTTCTAAAACAACCCTCTCATACAAGCTGCCATTTTCCATCCAGGCTTTGCAAAAAAAGACCAGAAGAGAATATAAAAAGATAAATATAATGAATGTTTCAAAGAGTGTTTTTTACAGGCTGAAGGAAACGCTGCAACGCAGCAAAGCTACAGCGAGAGAGATTTTATGTCGAAGCAGCAAAGGCACAAAGAAACATCTGCACATCATTTCATGACTTCTAACTGGCACTTTGGAGCTTGGCTAAACCAACAGCTCAGTTATGAGTCTGGCACTTCTAAAACTGGCATTCAGCACAGATGCTTAGTGGAGAAATGATTTTCTAGTCAGCTAGTGCTGACGCTGGATTCCCTCAATGGGGTTATTGCTGTATTCCCATCAATGGGCACATTGCTGTATCTTCTCCTGAAATTAAGAGCGATTTTCAGCCCTAAATTTGAGACTCAGCCCCAGCACAAGCTGCACACTCCGTGCAACGAGATGTCCTTCCCACAGCTGCAGATTTCAGAAGCCAAAATCAGTTCTAAAGAAGTGTCAGGGACTAATGTTCTCCACTGTTGAAACCACATACAAAGATGATGTACTCCCCTGCATCCCTGCAATGTGCCCTCCTCGTATCCTAACAGATGGGAGCTTACTGATTCCTTACCTGTGCATCCATCAGGAGGTGCCTCATCAGCATCATGGCACTTTTCAGAGATTCCTTCTCACTGGGCAAAAAGGCTTCTTCCTCCTCATCCAGCGTTTTTGACTTGTTGACAATAAAATGGGAGATCTGGTCGTTCAAGGAATGCAGCGACTCAACGGCTGTGGAGACAGAGAGGGAGAGCAAAAGAGGAGTGAAACCATGCTGGAGGGGGCTGACATAGTTTTCTCAGTTTGAGATGAGAAAGTGTAGCTGGAATTTGATCCCCATTGTCTCCCTTGGCCTCTCTCCTGACAGGACCAGCCAAGGCATCATAAAGACCAGTGGGTGAGGCCCTGAGCACCCTGGTCTAGTGGGAAGTGTCCCTGCTCATGGCAGGGGGGTGTTGGAATGAGATGATCTTTAAGGTCCCTTCCAACCCAAACCGTTCTAGGATTCTCTGGTGATGTTTCTAAGCTCAAGTAACAGGTCATGGCTAGAGTAAAAATAAGAAAATTATTTTTAAGAGTCAGTCTCTCTACTTTCAGCCCATAGAGCTGCTCCTTCTGATGTGCAGGGACCCAGAACTTCAGACTACATGAAAGGTAGAAGCTGGAAAAATTGGCTTTTTATTAGCTAGGGTAGGAGTGAGCAAGACCAACAACTAAAATATTGCTCATTTTCTTCCTTCATGATTATCAGTATTTGAATTACTGTTAATCTTTTAAATTCCCCTTCATGTGGTCAAACCCCAGGTACTATATGTGAGATTCTGCTCCCAGTCATGCACATCAGAAATCACCACATCCATGGCTCATAGAAATCCCCCTGCAATATCATACACTTTATGAAGCTGCAATTTATATATGAACCCGTGCCCAAATTTATTTCTGCCCAGTGAAGAGCTTTGGGTTTCTACAGATTTGAAAAAACCTTCCCTGCAATTTGCTTTTCAACCCTCACAAGTTTGGAGGTTTCATTTTTACTGTCGGATCATTAAATAAATGAGGCTCAAATAATTCTTGATCATATTTTCTCTCTGCTGGTGGCTCAGGCAGTGGAACCCTTTGATAATCTCGTGGCTCAGAGTAACACATCACTGTCACACACTGAACATCCTGCAAATCCTGGCTTGCTCAGGCTGTTTATGAATAAGGCAATGTGTTATTTAGGAGTCTCTGACAAAGTGATTTTAAGAACACAAGGCAACTGCAATATACTCGACCTAGTTCTGTCTAAAGAAGATCTTAGAACAAAATTTGAAGTAGTAAAGATTAGCCAGAAACTGCTTGTTGAGGAACAAATCTTCCCCAGACAAAAGAGCCATAACAAATCACAGGTATGTCTCCAAAATTCAGGAGGGAAAGAGCTGAATCCTCCTTACTGAGAGGGTTTATCTTTTATTTAAAACAATAAAATCAAATCTGTGCCTTACAATATCTTGGTGAGGGTCTGGGGGGGACTGGGGGGATTCCTCACATGCAGGGTGTTCATGTACCTCCTCACTAATAGAAAAGGTGTTGGAAGCTCACCCTGATGGATGGGTCCATTTTCAACCACACCATAAATCATACCATGAATCATGGAATGGTTTGGGTTGGAAGGGACCTTAAAGCTCAACCCATTCCACCCCCCTGCCATGGCCAGGGACATCTTTCACTGGCCCAGGTTGCTCCAAGCCCTGTCCAACCTGGCCTTGGACAATTCCAGGGATGGGGCAGCCACAGCTTCTCTGGGCAGCCTGTGCCAGTGGCATAATAATTTGGCTGATGGGTGAGACTCCTGTACATCACAGTGTTCTACATCACAAGCCAGGCCACCCTCCTGCTTGTGAGCCAAATATCTCCTGCTTATGGGTCAGTGCACGTGAAGCTGAGGTGTCCCAGGGTGATGCTCTGCAGAGGACATGGATTTTTGGGGAGCAGCGTAAAGGGGATTGAAACCACGTGCAGCTGAGCTTCTCCAAGTAACCATAAAAATCATTTTGTAATCATATGCCCTCCCACCAACCAACACTGCTGAGCCCCAGGAAGCTGCAGGTTTTCTTTCCCCAGGAGAGCAGCAGGTACCTGGCTGCACGCAGGCAGCAGTGGGTTTGATTTTCTTATCACTCCTGGACTGAACCAGCATCTCTGTCAGACACATCAGCCCTGAAAGCCACATTCCCAGCACTAATGCACAAGTATTGATTCATCCCACCCTCTCTGACCAACAAAGAATTGAGGACAGATCATTCTTTTTATACTCTGAAATTTTGGCTGGAGCCCTAAGCCCACATCTGCTTCCAGTAATACAAATGTATAGCAGAGTTCTCCTCCTCGAGCTGATGGCCACCTTCCAGATTTACACTGACTGGTACATGGAGCCTTTCTCCCAGGCTTTCTGATTTTAAAGTAATTCAAAACAAACTAAATTACATTATCCTAAGTTATTCCAACCTCCTTATCTGAGAAAAGAGCTCTACATTCTCCAATATTTCCTCCCTTACTCTTTGGATTTGCTCTCACTCTTTGCTCTGTTGGAGGAACATGTGGCACATGAAGCTCAGGGGGGGCAAATGCTTCTCTCATTTTTCATTCTCTAGGTTCAGAGAGTTGCCAGGGAAATTAGAAGAAATATTTCCCAGTAAGAATGTGGGAAAAGCAGATCAGTATTGACTTGAGCTGATTTTTATAGGGATCTGCCACGGGGTTGTGTTTAAACTCTGTTTAGCAAAACAAATCTTTTCCCATGAACACAATGGAAACTGTATTGGAAAATAAAATCCTCTGAGTCTTCCTCATGAAAGTAAAAGAAGCATTTCCAAACCTCCAGCCTACACACAAAGTGAAAACAAAGAAAGCTGAAAGACCAAACCATTCCTGACACTGCTTTCTGGAAGTCCTGTGTCAGTCTGCAAAACTGCTTCCAAAGGGCCCTTCTCATAAGCAGAAGAAATTTTATATTTCTCATCTAAATCAAGAGAAATTTCCTGCCTTTTGCCCTCTAAAAATCTAAAGGAGAAGGATAATGAGGCAAACCCTCCATCCCTCACAACATTACAGCTCAAACATTTCTGCTGAGCAGCACTTTCACTAACCCAGACAAATAGATAAGACTCCTTTTTAAAGAAAAAAAAATTATGGACCTCAGATATAAACACAGGTGTGTTCATTGGAGATTAAAAGATCCTTCTTGATCCCCTGAAAAGAAAAAAAAACAACAAACAAACCAGAAAAAAATAAAAAATGAGGATGACACTTTTCCCTCCTTGTATCATTCCTCTTGGTTCGAGGTTGGTAACACATCACTGACTCTGCAAGCAAGACAACCAGCTAAATAAAAATTACGACTATCAAAGTCCTGTCAGCACCCCAGCTTCTCCCATTCCAATTTCACCATTTCCTCACTGCAAGGAACAATTTCAAGGGGTGAAGGAACCGTAACAACCCTCTGTTAGTGCTTTGACGTCACCTACGAGAGGAGAGCAAATAATCTCTCTGGGAGGTGGCGGCTCTCCCTGCTGCTCTCCAAGATGATGTGCTGTGCTGGTGTGGTCAGGTGAGGAGCATTTGCCACCCCCAGGAGAGAGAATGGGTCAACAAAGTTGGTTTTTTTGCAGGGCAGAATCACCAGAGCCTGAAGGACGTGCAGGGGAGAAAGGAAATTGCTTTTCGTCGGAGACGAGGGAAAAATTATACTCGCGCCAAAAACTCATTCAAGGAAGAGGCTGAAGCAATAAAGTTGTTCCAGGAGACCCCATTTTATACACTCCAGATACTGCCCAGATGAGCACAAAATAAAATAAAGCATAGATAATATATCCTGAGATCTACTGACAAAAGCCAGCAGAGTCTAAAATTAAGTCTCGCCAGCAGGAGTGACTAAATGAAAGAGGACGGACATGATATAATTTTATCAAGGGAGGCTGCACAAGGATTCCTGGGCTCAACTCCTGACTCTGCTGCATAGAAATAGAGAGGACATTTAAGTGGGACTTCTTTGTGAGTGGTCAGCACTCGCCACATCTGCTCCCACGGAGAGCAAAGCCAAAAAACTGCTCTGCGGGCACAGATCCTCTGAAAACCCATCCCAAAGGATGCCAGGGAACCTGGCTGGCTAACGAGGGTCTGCAGAGACAATGATGTGTGTGGGCAAATGGTGCAATTCATTATGGCTTTGTGTGACCAAGGAGCTTCTCAAATAACATCTGCTGGGGTTGGTTTTGCAGTGAGGAAAAATAAACTACTCCGAGCACTTCAGGCCTCCCCCGTACGAGCTCTCCTCATGTTCTCTGCACTGCCCCACCAGAGGCAGGCACAGGGTTTGGTAACATGTGGGGCTCCTGAAACACCCAAATGCCTTTCAGCATCTCCCACGTTATGGAATCATAAAATGGTTTGGATTGGAAGAGATCTTAAAGATCATCCAGTCCCACCCCCTGCCATGGGCAGGGACACCTTCCACCAGCCCAGGTTGCTCCAAGCCCTGTCCAACCTGGCCTTGGACACTTCCAGGGATCCAGGGGCAGCCACAGCTTCTCTGGGCACCCTGTGCCAGGGCCTCCCCACCCTCACAGGGAAGAATTCCTTTCCTACATCCCATCTATCCCTGCCCTCTGGCAGTGTGAAGCAATTCCCTGTGTCCTGTCACTCCAGGCCCTTGTAAAACATCCCTCTCCAGCATACTGGGAGCTAAATCATAAATAAAACACAGTCTTATTTTTATTGTTGGGGTTGTCTGATGGGTCTCTTGTTGGGTCCAAAAAAAGAGGACATGCAATGCACACAACAGTTTATTTTTGCCTGATTGATGATTCTGGTTAGGAAGCCTTTCCCACTGTAGCATTTGCTAGTTGCATTTAGACAAATTAATTTATTCACTCAGCAATCAGAGAAATCTCCCTTTGTAAAAGCCAGGCTCATAGAACCATAGAATCATTGAGGTTGGAAAAGACCTTCAAGATCATCAAGTCCAAACTTGAACCAAATATCACTGTGTCCACTGAACCACATCACAAAGCACAACTTCTACTCATTTTTTGAACACTTCCAGGGATGGTGAGTCCACAACTTCCCTGGGGAACCCTTTCCAATGTTGAACCACTCTTCCAGTGAAGAAATTTATCCTAATATCCAACCTGTTCCCCTCTCTCATGGGGTTTAACACCTCACCTCCAACCAGCTGAGAAGCTGATCTGCAA